TCGTGTCGGTGTCGTTCCCACATTATCATGCAAATGTTGTTCCAGGATCAACATTGCAACTGACCAATTACATTGTTGTGACGTTATTCTTTTGTGCGCCAAGCCATTCGTGCATTTATGAAATTCCAATGTTGCAAGGACAATATCAGTTCTGCTTACCGTTTATTAAAGAGTCAGGGTCGGTTAATCGGCGGACAGAGGCGGTTTCTCGCAGCTTAAGTACAGTTTTTTGTTTTACGCCGTTTTTTCCCGAAGTCACAACATCACAACATTCTGATTGGTCACTTGCAATGTTGATCCTGGAACATTTAGTATGATGATCTGGGAACAACACCAACACGACGATATCAGATCGTGCCTATAAGACTGCAGTAACTAGCGGCTCTGCCCGCAGAGCTGCTGATCCACGTCCGTGTTTTGGCGATTAATGAGGGTCTCACACAACTGATCCAGTCACAGCTTGCTGACGAAGGTCTGAGGGCTTCAGCGGTGACAGCCTTCGGCTCGCTCGGCTTCTTTGGCCTTTCACTGATTTTTTTTAAAAAGGCCTGGAAGCCGAGAATGAGTCACAGGTAATTATATTTATTGTGTGCAGGTGGTAAAATAATGAAGGACAACTTCAGAATAATCCACACAACACATAATCATTTATTATTGCTTCTACACAACTGGGGGGAAATGCATGAAAAATAATGCTCAGCGGCAGAGCGGCCGCACGCTGGAGCACAGCGAGCGCTCTGAGCTGATGATGATGTGAGCACGAACGTGGCTCCAGGACAGCGGTTAGCTGGACTGTTAAACATAGGAGTCTGACTCACTGCTGGAGCCTCTGCTGGACGTCGGAGGAACTGCAGCGCTGACACAAAAGCTCACTGAGATCGGGGTCGTCCGTTAGGCCGGTCGGGGTCTCTCGGTACCTCACGATTCAGCCGCGATCACTGTGTGTGTTTCACCAGCTTGGAGCTGGAACGCGACCTTGGAGGAAATGAAAAATGAGCCTCCATAACATCAGAATCACACAGCATGCCGTTCTCCCATTTGGATTCTTCAGACATTTGGCTGACGGTCTCACTCTGAGCGACTTCAGCGCTCAAGGACGCTCGCCGAGCCAAAATATCTGATAAATGACTCAAATCTGACAAAGTCAGACAGAGAGCTCTGTGTCTGGATCCAGTGGAAATGCTCTCAGTGCAAATCTGTCCCCACATCACAGCATAATTGAATTGTGCTATTGGATTTCACTCAGTTGTGCTCGGCTATCAGAGAGAATATAATGAAGCACTCATTTGAGCAATGAGTGCTGCCAGACGCTCGGAGCTGCACACGATGACACTGAGCCGCTCGCCTCGGTGCGGGAGCCGCCAGAGGAGCGCCGGGTCATGTGACTCACACCTGCGACAGGTCATGTGGTTTACACCACGGGCCTAGAGACAGCACGGTGAGGCTAAAGCACCAGACCAAGATTCAAGAGGACTAACTCCATATTTGTAGGCTTCAACTCTACTAGATCAGCTTTGCATGATTCACAGCCCAAAATAATCCTTCTTTATCTGACACTGGGCCAGTGTCTTCCGATTGGCTGTCCCTCACAAACGTGATTGTTTGCAAAGATGGGCGTGTCTCCAGTCTGCCAATGATGAAAATGCAACACCAGTAACAAAAACATCAGGATGTTGTGTACAATTAAAAAAATGTGAATAAATGTGAATCAGATATGAATCTCTGAGATCAGGCTTTATGTTTTAATTCATTGACACAGCGTCCCGACGTTTCTGGAACCTGGTTATAGATCCTTGTGTGCTTGTTTGTGGCTGATGTCATTTGTTGTTAGTAGTAAGCCTCATGTGACGGATTCACATATTCACTGATTATGAAATGGGAGCGGTTCATAATAACTGAGCAGTAAAAAATTACTATAACGTGTACTTGATGTTTCCACACTCACAGACACTGGCTCTACGGTTAAGATTCAAACTTTCCTTTTTGCTAAAGCATATAGTTAGGGCTGGACCAGCTGACCCTGAATCCTCCCTTAGTTATGCTGCAATAGGCTGCCGGGGATTCCCTTGATGCACTGGGTGCTTCTTCTTCACTCAGTATGTGTTATCAGACCTCTCTGCATTGAATCGTACCTGTTATTGATCTCTTTAAAAATGACAAAGTCTTGATCTTTGGACGTAGCTGGTTCCCTGGTGTCCTCTGCCCTCCTCAGACAGGAAGTAGTTGGGAGTACAGGACTCTGAGGCCGCTCTGCTGAGCACACAGAAACTGTCCAATGAGCACCTGCAGAATCTGAAGTTGAGGTCTAAATTCACTAAACCGCTGTGAAGTGGCTGCTCCAGCATGAACTGCAAATTTGTAACGAAACTCTGTCATTTCAGAAAGTCGGTATCAAAACAAAAATAATCCTCAGACTTGCTGAATCGTGATGTTCGCACATCGCAAAGCGACTGAAGAGAGACTGAGAAGGTTTTTTCTCCTGCAGGCAGTCCTGACACACAGATGGCAAATCTCACTCTCACAGCATCTGACTGACGAGAACGATGCTCAGCGAGCATGAAAGTGAGAATGAGAGCAGGTGCGCTCACCTGGTGTTCATACAGCAGCCCAACATACAAACAGCGTGGTTTCTCCAGCTCTGGGGTAATCTTAAAAACCTCTAAGGCTGCTGAAGGACTCATGGTGTCAAAATGTTTTGGTGTGATTTCAGTAAAGGCCGTCTGCAACATCCACGGGACTGCTCTGACCTGTCGATAACATTTCAATTAAACCGAGCTTAGTGTGTGGCTGAACCGTTAGTGTGGCCGTGATGCCATGTTACATACAGCAGCACAATGCTAGCTGAGTGACGTCAGCAAATACAGGAAGTAACCACCGTGACCTTTACACTCACGTCGTGTTAATGAAAGTTTCATGGATGTAAAAAGAAGGGGGCAGGCTCATCCACTGTAGAGCTCCGCCCCCAGGCTGAAATGATGCAATAAATAGTTTTAAAGTGTCTCTGTGGATATTTTGTTGACTCCATTTACATACAGGGGAGATTTACACATACGTGGCTTCACCTCTTGCCCCCCACCCCTGTGTAAAAATTTCTAGATCCGCCACTGGGCTCAGTGAAACCAGGAAACAACATCGCCAGACAAACCCAGACATGGAAGCTGCAAGTCAGGAGAGAGGAGACCTTTTTGGAGACCTCCAAATGACAGACCCACAAAGGCTCACTTTGAAGGACGCTCACCGACGGCCAACGATGGGTGTCGGGCTTAAAACAGTAAGGACGTGGCACCCTGCAGTAAGCAGCTGCTCAAACACTACATTATATAAGTTAACTTTCACACTTTGTTGTGTCTGTAAAGTTATTCAGTTATTAAACCAGGTCCACATGAATCCATCCCAGGAGAAGTGTGAGTGTTATTTTTATCGTGGTCTGACAGTGAGCTTCTTTAAGGACTTAACTGTCAGAAAAAGTCGTCATTCTTCTGTGAAACTCCAGCAAACTCACAGCCCACAGAGGTCGAGTTCACTGTCACTGAAAAGCCAGGACACATTCAGTTTTTGGAGGTTAAACGTGATTCTCGAGTGAGCGGGCTGGTTTCTGTGACGATGAATAGTTTCTGGATTTCTGCATTCTGCAGCTGCATTTACTATCAATAACAATAAAAACTGATCTACAGATCAAAGTCATACTGTGAACCTCGCTGCGTCAGTTTCAGCACTTTGCGTCGTTCCACAGTTTCTTCTTTTTCAGCCATGCTGTTGATGACTGACGCTGATCTTTGTCCCACTTTCTTGTTCCTCCCACAGACGAACGTGGCTGCTGTGGCCTCTTCACTGGTGTTGTGGTTTGAACTTCCAGGTTTTAAACAAGGCCTGGGTTAATAAACTGTGCGACTGTTGGTCGAAGACCGAGGAAGAGGAGAGGGGCATGGCAGGTTAGCAGGCAGCGAGAGAGAAGGAAAAGCAGGAGAGCAAGGACTCTAAATGTGGGAACTATGACCAGCTGAATTTACAAGTCAGATATTTGATGTGAGATGCCTCCTGGATGCCTCATACACAGCAAGATCTCCAGTGTTAAATTAACACTAGAGAGTGTCTATATGGGTCCACACCTCTGAGTGTTAAATACAACACTGTTGAGTGTTAAATGAACACTTTTGACAGTGTTGTATGTTTAAAAGTAACCTGGTCAGTTTTGAAGATTAACAAAGGCTAACACTGAGCAGTGCTGATTTTCTAACATTTTGAGTTATTTTCCAGTGTTAGAAAATCAGCACTGCTCAGTGTTAGCCTTTGTTAATCTTCAAAACTGACTAGGTTACTTTTAAACATACAACACTGTCAAAAGTGTTCATTTAACACTCAACAGTGTTGTATTTAACACTCAGAGGTGTGGACCCATATAGACACTCTCTAGTGTTAATTTAACACTGGAGATTTTGCTGTGTACCTGACGTGTTTCTGACATGTGCCTCTGGGAAGGGGCCTCGGCAGATCCCGGACACACTGGAGAGATTCCGTCTCCGGCTTTGGTGGGAACTCATTGGTGTTACTCAGAAGAGTCGGAGGAGTCCTACTACCTGGACTACCTCGTTTATCTGGATTTATCCTAACATTAGCGATCAGCTTGGTTATAAACTCACTAACTAACCCACGGTTTAACCTGCGTTCAGATGAAAGAGGAGTGTCAGCAGAGTGTTTGACAAAAGAAGCAGAAACCATCATATCAGAAAAATATGAAGAGATTAAAGACACAGTACAAGTATGTGAGTGTGTCTCTGTCTGTGTTTGTGTATCTGTGTGAGTGCGTCTGTGAGTGTGTGTGTGTGTGTGCAGCAGGTGAGTATTAGACGCTCTGACTGAACGCGTCTCTGCGCTGTTGTGTCTGTAAAAGAGCTGCTGTGTTAATAAAGCTGCGCCTGTTTGAAGCCGTGACGTTTCTAATCAGATATTAGATGATTGGATGTTTTACACGCAGGTTTGGTTCTGTTCTCTGTTTCACACGTTACAGCTGAAACTCGTCATTTCCACCAAAAAGCGGACAATGCGGCTCGTCAGAGAAGCGCGAGGACACCAGAGGCTGCTGCTGTCCGCGCGCACAGGTCCGAGGGATCTTCGGGAATGATGACGCCATTTACGCGGAGAACTAATTGGTTCTTAGGCGCTTCTGTCACACCTGTTGATGTGTAACGAGTTACGGTGGCGGTAAGACCCGGAGTTTGGCTGAAGTTACCTGGATGCCCGGAAGCGGGAAACGTGATTTTAACGTGAGTTTCTGAGGACACCGAGCCTCACGCTCCCGTTCACGGTAACGGTCCGTGAGCCGGAGCACGCGCAGGCTGTTTGTTCGGCTTGTTTTGGCAGCACAAGCCCTGCGCTGATAATTACACAAACGCGCGTGGGCGGCGTGAGCGCGCGTGCGTGGATGAGCGAGAGAGAGCACGAGCGAGAGAGAAAGAGAGATAGAGAGAGGGGGCTGGTGGACCGTGAGGACCGCGCGCGCAGAGCTCCTCTCCTCGGCTCGTGTCGACTCCTCTCGCCGCCTCTCTTTGATCTTTTTCGGCCACTTTGTGCGCAGAAGCCCGGGAGCCTCCACGGAGTGCGCGAGCCCGCAGACAGGTGTGCACGGCGCAGTTATCGGAGCGGTCTATCGTCACGGGCTGTGACATCAGAGCCGCGCGTGGGCGGCGGGCTGCCGTTACCGGAGGAGTTACCGAGGAGTTACCGGAGTGTTGGGGCTCGCGGGGCCGGGATGGTACTCGTGCAACAAGCGGCAGGCTCGCGCGGCGCGGATGCCGTGGCTCCTCGCGCGGGATCCCAGCTGTGCCGGTGAGCGGGTGCTCTCTCTGCGGGGCGCGGGCCGGCCACGAGCCGCCGGATTTACGGACCTGTCCCGAGAACAGTCCCCTCGCGCCTCCTCGCGCTCCTGCGTTTTCCCGCTGCGTGACCGCACGGACCCCGGCGCCGGCATGGGGGGGCGCTCCGGCCTGCCCCTCCGCGTGCTGTGGATACTCCACGCGTTCCTGGACCTTGCGGGCTCCCAGGAGATTTACGCGCCGCACTCCATCCGCGTGGAGGGCGACGTGACGCTGGGGGGGCTTTTCCCGGTCCACGCCAGGGGGGTCCCGGGGACGCCGTGCGGGGACATCAAGAAGGAGAACGGCATCCACCGGCTGGAGGCCATGATGTACGCGCTGGACCAGATCAACGGCGACGATGAGCTTCTGCCCAACGTCACGCTGGGCGCGCGGATCCTGGACACCTGCTCGCGGGACACGTACGCACTGGAGCAGTCGCTGACGTTCGTGCAGGCGCTCATCCAGAAGGACACATCGGACGTGAGGTGCACCAACGGGGAGCCTCCGGTGTTCGTGAAGCCCGAGAAGGTGGTGGGGGTCATCGGGGCCTCGGCCAGCTCCGTGTCCATCATGGTGGCCAACATCCTGCGCCTGTTCCAGGTATGAGTCAGTGTCACACCTGCGCAGAGACGCACACACACATCTCCCTCATAAACCCACAGTGTGAGTGTGTCAGAGTGTAATGACTCCTGCAGACAGAAGAACACGTTTCTGCTGGATTGAGTCGTGCAGGTGAAGCTGTGCGCGCGTGCGCGTGCGCGCTGGTTTCTGGATCATGTTAATGATGCAGGTTCTGGTTCTGGTCGTGTTCCTCGAGCTGTTCAATCAATCTTTAGTGTGTTTGTGTTTCAGGTTTATCTGCTGCTGCACTCTCGGTGTGCGTGTGTGCATTTTCGGGCTTCTTTATGGTGTGTGTGTGTGTGTGTGTGTGTGTGTATTTTCGGGCTTCTTTATGGTGTGTGTGTGTGTGTGTGTGTACGCTCGGCAGAGGGGAGGTCAAGACAGGAGCTGAGTTGACCTGGTACATCAAGTTTGGATTTCCCCAGTTGTTGGTAAACAAAAAAGATTTAAACTCAAAAGATTTTGAGTTCATGCACACTGGAAAAAA